TTAGGTAGTTTAATCTTTTATATTTTGTCAGCACGTTTTTGGTTTTAGTGTAAGGGATGTTATTCAAATTTTGACTTCGCTTCCGCATTTGATATTTATAATATAATTTCCATTTTAAATTTCTGGGGCTGCTACAGCCGATCGAGGTAAATTTCATACCCCCGACTCATTTTTCCACGCTGATTTCCCCTGTGGTCAAATCGGAGCCAAAATCCGGCCAAACGGCCGGAAAACACGGCCGAAACCCAGCGGCGCCGCCGCGCCCCTTCTCGATTTTTGCCTCCGATGAGGCCCTTCCCGGCCTCCGTTTAATGCAATTTTTATATCACCATGATCACCATTCTTTTCTCTACAGGTTTATCAAAGCCGAATCACCAAAACACGAACTTCAACGGAGAGCCGCCGCACCCGAGAGCACCGCCGCCGGTAAGCTTCAGTTTTCTGTAATTTTTTTGGCCCCCCGAGGGCCCTAGGGTTGTTTTATCGCAAGGATCGATGCAAGTGTGGCCGAATTCGGCCGGAAACGGCCGAAAACGGCCAAACCGAGGCGAATCACCGCCGCGTCGCCGGAGCACGGCGGAGCCGCCGTGCCGAAATTGCGATATTGGCCAAAAAGGGGCCCCGGGCCTAATTTGGGATTTTTTGGAACACGTGCAGGTACCAGTAGTGCGTTTCAGTTCCCCGGGAAAAATTTAAGAAAAATTAGGAACAGCCTATAGGCGCACTGTGAAGCCGTGTTGGGACCCCGAAACGAGTAAGGACCCCTCACCCTATTTCCTATCACGGTATTAAAGTTCAATAAATGGTAAAACGGTATTTCATGAATCAACGAATGTGTGAAATTGCTTAAGGTCGCTAATGGAGCCCGAGTCTAGTGTGTTTGTCGGTTAACTGTTATTTGGCTTGTTTTATAGTTTTAAATGCAGTATGAGGTTTGATGTTTTCATTTTATAGTTTCGTGTGCATATTTTACTGTTTTACTGAATTATGGATTGAATGACTAGGATATTGATGCTGTATGTTGTCTGTTTGGCATAAATTACCGTTTTGCTTGTTTGTATGTGGATTGATGATGCTGACTGAGGGAAAAAAGAATGAAAGATTATGTAAATGGGTAATTGTATAATGTGGTCAGCCTGACTAGATATCCTGGAAGATGGTGGACGGACCGGGTCCGTAGGGAACCCTACCGGGATGGTGGTCTCCCATACCGGACGGGGTATGGAGATCTTATGTGTTTTGGCGCCCATACCGGACGGGGTATGGGGACGGCCCGCTTCACCCTCATACCGGACGGGGTAATGAGGTTTATAGTTTTGGCGCCCATACCGGACGGGGTATGGGGACGACCCTGGAATCTGATTTCAAGTGTTAAGGGTTAACGGGTAGCGGGACCCCTATGGATCCCCATGGATACTAGTGGGCTGGTAAATGAGGAAAATATGTTGTGTAACGATTGAATTACAAAAGGCTTGATAAGTATTATGTTATACAGTTCATATATGATTTCATGATGATGATAATGTTATTGCTTTCGTATACTGTTTTATGGATTTCACTGAGGTAAGTGGATGGTGAATGATTTATTATTAATAAAAGAATTTGTTGTAAATTATGCTCCATTGGTCTTTTTGTGTTTTCTACCCACTTTTACCTCCGTGACGGTGAGATATCGTGATGTCTTTACTGGGCTAGTGTAGCTCATTCCTTATTTAATCATTTCATATCAGGAATACATCGTTCCCGAACCGGTTCCGCAGGAGGACGACGAAGGGGACGCCTAAAGACTCCATAGTCATATTCGTAGCTTTTACTTTCAAGTTTCTCCTTTAGGTAGTTTGATCTTTTATATTTTGTGAGCACGTTTTTAGTTTTAGTGTAAGGGATGTTAATCGAATTTTTGACTTCGCTTCCGCATTTGATATTTTTAATATACATTTCATTTTAAATTTACGGGGCCGTTACAGATTCAATGGACACCCTATAATTAGGGAAATAAAAAAAAAAGGATTTAACAATTATAAAATAGTTTTTTATAATATATTTGATTTTTAATAAAAATTCGCATTTAAAATCTTAAAAAAATTAATTTTAATAAATACAGAGTTTTTATTTTTTAAAATTAACGTAATTTTTTATATTTATTTTTATTAAAAGACAAATAATTTTTTAGAAAAAAAAATATTTTTAATAAAAAATTATTTTAACAAAATTTTTAAAACTTAGAGCATAAACTATAACTTTTCTAAGCAATTTTTGTAAACTCGTTGTAATTTATGTATAAGATAATTGAATCTCTAATTCTATTACATTCAAATTAAATTATAAAATAAATAAGTTCGGAGAAAAGAATATCAAAAACTAATTAAATTTTTTTTCATCTTTTTTTTTATTTAAAATTATCTCTAACTCTCTCTTATATAATATGAATAGAATATAGCTCAGAGATTACTAGGTAGAATAGTGAGTTATTATAAAATTAATCACTTAATAATCTCGAGAACAAGAATATGATTAAAAATTTTAAGGACATATATGCAATATTATTTTAAATCTTTTTGTTAAGATAAAATAATAAAATAAGAATTTTATTGTAGTGACATTCATCCAAGATCTCAGAAGGAAACAAAGGAATTTATTTTCTCCACTTTGTTGCCATAACATGCAAGCTTGGAGGAAAAAAAAAATGACTAAGGGAGGAGGTTCATCTTCGAAAAGCTTTCTCAAGGATTTATGTAAATATATGATCTAAATTTAGTTTAAGAATTTATGTTTATGTATGATTCAAAAAAATATTATTAAGATAGTCTGACATATTTAATTTGTAATGAAAGATTAAAATTTATGATAATCTAATTACGAATTAATTAAATAAAATTTTAAAATTTTAGTACGTCACTCTATAATATGTATCAAATTATAATATGTATAAAAGAAAAGACTCATAATTATAAAGATGAATTAAGCATATTATGCTCTAAATTTAACAAATTATGTTCTAAGATCATGAATTAAGCATTATAAATTAATTTATTCAATTCATAATATACTCAATAAAATAGCAAACGTCACGTAAAATTTAAACTATTAATATTCATGTAAAACCTTAAAAACTTAAACACGTATTTATAAAAGTATAGACGTGCAAGTTAATTAGAAATTAATTAATAATTATAATAAATCATCAATCACCCAAAAATTTATAATGCAATAATCATTCTATTGATACAAACATGTTTTAGGTTGTATTACTCACCTCTCACCTAAAGTCTAAAACCCATGTATGATATTAATAGTAAATATATATATATATATACATATATATTCATGGTAGGTAATGGTTAAAAAATGTAAACTTACATTTGAGAAAACTGCTCTTGACAGAGTTCGTCTTGGTCATTGGTCAATGACTATGTAGTCTAGAGAGTACTTCCAAAATCAAATCTCTGACTTTTTCAAAAATCAATTTTGGCTACCAACATGTTTTATATGTGCATGTATATAATATACTGAAATATATCATTTTCCAACGTATTTTTAATTGATTTTTGTTGTCAAATTACTCGCGCAGACCGGTTTAACTTAATTGCACTCAACCGGTTGTCCCTCTTGTAGTCAAATAAATTGTACTAATAAATTATATACAAAGTTTCTTCAAATACTTTGGTAATCAATGTTGATGGACATATGTGAGGAGATGATTTGATTTGGAACATGGGTTTTCAACCTTTGAAATTAGACCATACATATCAAGAAAAAAAAATTAAAAATGAAAATTTTTTTGGGGGTTGGTGGCTGGCTGGGTAGTTTTCAGTTTAAATCAATCAAAAGTAGAAGGGATAAGCAGCAGAAGATATATGTGTACATACATACATACATATATGTAGCAAATTTGAGTGGAAAAAGTCCAAAAAACAGGTGCCTCAAGGGACAGGCTCAAATCTCCAACAAGAAGCGCCCACCTACCAAACTTGGGAGGTTATTGAACCCAAAGTCAGTAGAGAATAATAAGTTGGGAGGAGTTTGGTTTTTGAAGTGGGTCGGTCAATGGTGTATGAATTCTTTCTTTCTTTCTTTCACAGTAAATCCTCACCGAGATCAGAGGTTAAAAGCATTTACTGATGAAGTTAAAAGCATCTAGCTCCCATGGTGTAAAAATTCTCATTTCTAAATGGGTCATTGCGGTTTGATTCTTATTAAGGCCTCTTATATTTCTCAGACTAATTAGCCAGGTCTTGTCTACCGTCAAGAAAAAAAGAGTAAGAGAAAGAAGTAATGACTGTGATACACCAACTAACGGTCTTTTCTCCAAAGAAAAGAAACAAGAAAAAACTAACAGAGTCATAAGGATAATCATGATCATCTCTACATACTCCAAAATGAGAACACTATAATTCTTTTTACACTGGTTTTTGACAAGAAAAAGGAAAGAAAAATCTCTCACCATGACTCTGATGACTTGTTTGTTGGGTTCCTTTTTAAAAAAAGGGTTTATGTGCTACCTTTTGTAGAGATTTAAAGTAGGGAAGAAAATTTTTGGCATTTTTTAGTGGGGTTGTAATTATTTCTGATTAGGTAAACTATGAAATTTGAAAGATGGGGGTAGAAAATTTTCAATTTTATATAGGGTGTAATTATTTGGATTAGGTAAAAAGTATGAAATTTGATGCAAAAAAGTTCCCAGAATCTATGCAATTAATTGTCAATTTTAGTAGAAACTACATTTGATTTGCTAAAGATGGTTTGAAACAAGTCAAAAAGAACATAATCTAGAATAACCAGGACAAAATGGGATCCAAATTACCAACCAAAACCAGATGTCAAAGTCAATTTATTATCTCCCCTTGGAGATTTCAATCAGATTCTTTTCATTTGAGCTCCATCTAGATTTGGTCTAAACTACAAACCAACCAACCTGATAATTAAGAAACCACTCTTAAAACAGAATATATATATATATATATATATATATATTTTAATATATACTAGTCAAAGCAACATTTCCACAACACAAAACTAATTGGGTGAAGAGTCCATTTCAGCCTATGAGATAAAACAGCTATCTTCAAGCCCACTCAAAAGATCGTTCAATATTTTGATCTTTTTGTGTGGATAGTTGCTAAATTATCACCAATTCAAAGAGGACAGTTAACACCATTAAAGGCCCGGCCCGCCTACTCTCACTACATAGACATCCCATATGTACAGCTGTATAAACAAAACAGAATGGCCACAACCCAGCGCCTATTCTGTCTTTACCAAAACTCCCAAAATGCTCTTTCGGCCTCAACTTTCACATTTACTTTGTCATCACTCTGAGTCCCTATGAGTCTCTGCTTTAGTTTTCACCCTCCAGCTTGATGCCTTTCAATTTCAGACGATCAACTTTTGAAGCTTTTGCAGAGGCATCTTTTCTTGGCTTGTCAGTGCCAATAGAGTTGTCTTGGGTCGTTTTATCAACAGTTTTAACACGTTTTCTGGCCTTGATTTTGGATGAGATACTTCCAGCTCCACTCCTGAAAGCCCATTATGATTTTTGGTTCAGATCTAAAACATGCCAGCAAATAATGATTAAAGTGACATACTAACTAACCTTCTTGCAGACGAATCAGCCTTCCCTCGTTTGGCTGACTCACTTTCTTTCTTCTTGTCTTTCACCTTCTGTACTCTGTGCAGACCCCAAAAAAAAAAGGAACAAACAAACAAACATGCAAAAGATTATTGATATCAAATATTATTCCTTTCCTCAAATTTGCTGACTATAATATGGTCTATTATTTCAGAGAATTTGAAAATTCCTTCCCTGATAAGCATATTCGTGGAACAATTTTTCAGGGAAGAAAAGATATCGACTTAAAAACAGTACTTACAAATCTGATGAATTCTCTTGCATTGGACGATTGATGTCATTCTCCTATTAGTATTATTAACATAATTGCTTGGTCAGTTAATTTCCTGAAATGCAATATTGCACAACAAAACAGAAAATAAACCATGGAAGAAAAACCTACTCCCTCAGGGAAATCATTATTTCCAATCAGCTTCCAGTTCTCCTTTTTGAGATTCAATAGTTCTTCATCACCATCAGAATATAACACCTAGGCAAAAAAGTCACAACAGAAATATCATATGAAGAAAAGAATAAAACATCAAGATGGTCAATGTTTTACAAAACCAAATACGGCAGAGCAGGGAGGAGCCACTGGAATTAGTTTTCCAGTTTCTTCTAGCATGGAATGTAAAAGGAGATAAAAAGATTACAACTCCAAGCTCTTTATGCAAGCACCAACCCAATCCCCCCAACCCAAAAAAAAAAGAGAAAAAACAAACACCAAGACCAGATTACCTTTGGAACCATTAGGATGTCAGCAAGAACTAGGCAGGTTCTCATACAAATGAAGAAGGCCCCAGAGTTGATACTTCAATATTATGGGATGATTATGCAATTATAATCTCTTTATATTACTTAGACATTTTGCTTATTTAGGACCTACTAATAGAATAGGCTTATTAGCAGTTTAGTATTCCATCTCTTGTCTAGTTAGAAGTCTTACTTTGTTATTTCTTTCTATTTAAAAATTATATTTATGTTAAGCCATGTAGACACCTTAAAAATACACTGGAGATCCATTATTACTAAATAAAATGCATATGAATACCAACTAATTTTCTCTCATTGAATTGAGTTCCTCAAAATTCTGTGATTGTGCTCGTTGTCAATCCCGGTAATTTTGGATTAAATTTATCTGTTCTTTCCTTTAAATTTTGTCTTCCTAAACCCTATTCCATTGTGCTACATCAGGTTCTCAAATATGTGAAATAAATCCCAGAAAAATGACATCAAAGTAAGGTTATCTTACCCTATGTTTCTTTTTTATATGATCATAGGAATCAACAATACCTTCATAAAACCTGCAGAATATAAAGATTTAAGTGAGAGAGCATAAATCAGAACTTTCACCATCGTACCATGGATGTCCTTCAGAAACACAAACTAATGTCAAATGTCTCAAATATTAGTATCAAATAGGAGGTTATTCCAAGATTTTCTAAACAGGTGGGTAAGCAAGAATTTCAAAATCTGACAAGTGTCTATTGAAAAGGATTTATATATATGAAGCAGCATAAAGTGGAATCAAGTCCTCCAGCACACTGATTCTTGTGCAAGCCTATCTAATGCACTTGCACAGTTCCCAAGTAAAACAGTCAAAGCTAAAAATTTATTCACAATCTCATATAGCCACAAGAAAAAAGGACATTATCCTCACCTGCAATACATAAATCTGACATATCATTTAAACAGAAAACTTAGATAACGAAAATGGCCCTTGTCTGTAATTGATACCTCTGATATATCAACTTAACAGAAAACTTGATATAAAAACAGAAAATAGTCCGCATATCTCCCCCCTAATATCAGCATTGAAGAACCTCATACGAAAATTCATAAATTTCTACGCAGAGCAAAGTTATTTCCAAAAATTTAAACTCTAAGCAATAAATTCAAATGAAAGAACAATTTTGCTGCTAATGAAGTATCATCTGTAAAAAAAGTACTTCATCAGTCCCCAGACTGATAAGCAGACTGTCATAGGAGATTCTAAATCCTAAATTGATAGATAATTTGCTATATTTATCTAATCAAATGCTTATTTTCTTTTATACTGTTAAATTATTAAAGTCAAGAAAAAATATGTTCAACTATACTTTTCGAAAATATATCTCAACAATTACATATTTAAGAAGAAATAAAAAAAAAACAACTTATTCTTAATTTTATATTGACAAATTGTCGTTAAAAAAACATTGAAAGAAACAAACAAAATTACCTCACTACTTCAAAAGTCAAACCGGATAATCAAAAGCTTTATCGATGAGTAGAAAGAATGATGATAGTACAATAGTTTGCATGAACAAATTCACCATTTAAAGAAAAATAATAGAGGGCAAAATACAAATTGTAGATTCTAAACCACTCACATCTTATCCAGGGGCCACCAAACCTTTATTTTTCTGCCAATCAATTCCTCACCACGGCGAAACCCTTTTGATTCCTGAATATGGAAAATAAGTATTTCAGAGTTTGTTAAAACACCAAATTCTCCAATAAATAGAAGCAAATGTTTGTTCATCAATATTAGATGTTTAAGTTCATACTTTCTCCAATATTTTTTTGTTCTATAAAAAAAAATGATAATGCATGCATAACCTAGACAATAAGCAAAACCCTACCAAATTATCACTGAAGGAAAAAAACCAAATAAAATGTGGGATGCATCACAACCAGATACAAGTTTGATGGCTAAATGGGAGATCAAATTCATACCGTTTCAGTGCATGTAGTTAGTTTCCTTTTGAGATTTCTCTTAGGCATTTCGTCAATGTTACTTTCTTTTTTACCAGATTCTTTTCCTGAAGACTTAGAAATCACCTTCTGCACAGTTGACAAGAGAATAAAACAAAAAAAACTATGGTGTAACAAACTTTTTATATATATAGGATAGAACTTTAAAAATTTAACTTCATACCTTTTTCCTAGATGCTTCGGTAATAACTTTGTTTGCAGTAGTATCATCCGGAAGCCAGTTCTCAGAAGCCTCAATTTTTACTACTGTCCGACGCAGCTCTCTTTCCTCAGTATCAATTGAGGCTTTTCCTTCTTTCTCTGAGTACACACAGCCAGGTGCCTGAGTTGTCTGCTCAATCTCCTTCATGGCATGTCCAAGTTTTGAGTTTTTTCTTTTTTTAGTTACTGGTTTACTTCTGTCTTCAGGTTCAACTTCTGCAGTTATATCTGCATGTTGTGGTGCTTTGTTTTCAACCAAAGCAGTCAAGACCTTGCTCTTGGAGATACGGTCATCATCCTGATCCATCATGCTGTGTTTCTTCTTAGGTCGCCTCTGAGCAGAATGATCTCCACCTGGAAGACTACTTGCAGATGGGGAAGAGAAACTTTTGCTTGCATTAGTTTTAGAGGAAACCCTTGCAGTCCTAGTTACTCCTTCCTGTGCCGAGGATGAAGGTGCCTTCTTCAAAACTAGGGTTGTGGAAGGTGAAAAATCAACTCCTTTTTCATGAGTCTTTTTGCCATGAGATATTTTAGGGTCTTTGTTAATTGTACAAATCCAAGAATGATCATAGCCTTCTACTGGATTCATCAAAGAATTAGGTTTCCGTCCCCTTTTTTTTGAAACAGTCTCCGGATCAGTTTCCAATTCAGCAGCCTTTGCAGAGACTAAATTGTCAGATCCAGCTCTGCCACTTGTATCAATATTTCTGTAATGTTCTGTGACAGAACTATGGTCTAATCTTTTTGAAGAATTATCATTTCTGGAAATCTCATTCTTCCTACTTGGATCAGTTCCATTAGCAGTCACTGGCTTGGAGCTTTCATCCACAGCTTGGTAAACTTCTCCTCGACAAATAGCATCTGCCGAAAGGCCCTTACTTCCCTGATAAATAAAAGTCTGGATTAATTCTGACTGTTAACACTGTATTGGTGTAGATAAAATGTGGGTCAATCATATCTTCTTCGTCAACATGTCATTTAAGAATGGCAT